AAGAAAATAAAACTTATGAATAACCAAATCACACCCCAACATTGTGCAGGACAGCAACGACAAAGTTTAGCAAATTGACTTGCATCGGACTCGTTGACCTTTCTGACCACTAATTTAAACCAACATAATTAGAATTAATATCAATAACAAATATGGATAATGAATAGAAAGAAACGGAGATATTTACCCAAGTCATCCAATATATCCCATAAAGAATAAAGACAGGACATAACGCTAATTTAATAAAACGTGGCGCATAAATTAGTAAACAGTAATGAAAGGTAGAAAGTATAAAAAAAAAAAAAAAAACCTACCCAACAAACAGCACAAAATATCTTAATCCCACGCCTTTCTCAATAATCCATAAAGCAACAATAATTAGTACGAAAAAAACAGTAATACCTCTAGTTAACCAATTCTTGGCCCAAAATAAGAGGATAATTAGTAATACGCCAAGAACGACTGATGCAGCCTTCGACGCATCAACATTAAACCCGCAAAATATTAGTATCGCTCCTATTAATGATGATCCAAGATAACCTAAATTTATAATAATTAATTGTTATTATTATATATATTGATATATATATATATATATATTTCAAAAAATAAAAATAAAAATAAATATATCAGATGTGATATATTTTAGAGGATTTACCAGCTGGCAAAGTACAACATTGAACTCCGCCCCGCTGATATAATTACGAAATTAAGATAAATGATTAATTAAATTACAAAGATAATGAAATGATAAAGAGTAGATTGACATATACCATTTGAGTAACGCCACCTTCGTCAGGATCAATCTTAATCCCTTCGATCTTTGCCCCAGTACAGCATCCAGCAGCAGCATGCGACCATTCATGTAAACCAACTGTCAATAACTACTTGAACGAATAATACATAAATTGAGTCATTCACTTTTAATTTAAGGAAAATTACACATATGAAAATTACCTTGAAAGGATATAAAATAATATTTAAGAACGGCATTCTCCACAGAATTAATATCACAAGTATGTAAACTCCAATAATTATTAAAGTAATAGTTTCATCTTTTGATGGAGTTATGCGATTTTTTATGTCTTGACCTATATCTCGCTCAACAAAAGCACGTTCGTCAAATACCGCCGGCATTTCTTCTAATAAATTATATTCTAATAATTATTCTAATCAATTTAATCGTAGTTTTCTTTCCTTTACTCGCGAGAAAATAACAAAAGGGATAAAATAAATAATATTAAGAGAAATTCCTGTAATGGCGAAAGTTCGTTATCCGTTCTATGTACATAAATATAAAACAAAGTTATATATATTATATATATATATATATAATTTATATTTTGTATACGAAAAAATATATTTGTCGATCACGGGGCTTAATTGCAACCCAAATGCTGAAATGGGTAGCTCGATCTGAAATATAAATATAAATAATACTGTAAAACGCAACCACTATTTTCGAGTACGTAAAAACTTTAACTCGTTATAACTTTTTTAAAACAAACTACATTTCTGTCAGGTTTTTTTCTAAAAAAAGGTATACTTAAGAGGTTAAAGTTTGTAAGGTTTAAAAAATTGGCGTTTTTAATATATATATAAAAAAAAAAGAAAAGATACATATTTAATTAACCAATCAGAATCAATTACACCAAGTTTAGCCAATTGAAATTGATTATATAAGCGTCAAAAATTGGCGCTCTATTGAATGTCCTTTACTGTCCCGTACTAAATAAATTCAATCAAGATCTACCATGACGGAATGATCATTTATTTTATGCTGGTCAGAGCCAAGCCATTATCGGCATATACTAAAAATAACGATAATGATTAATCGCGAATTTATGATATCAAACATGCATGTTTTAAGTAAAACACAAATTCGTTATTAGTGATTTTTTTTGTAAAGTTTGTTCGACTTTTTAAGAAAATTAAATATAATATATAAAACTAATGTACGTATATAATATCTATTCTATTCAAACTAATTCTGTAATAAAGACTGCCGCAGCTGTCTATACACAAAGCAGCCTGAATTCAAAATCTATTATTAGTATTATAATCAAGAATTAAGACTTTTTTTAATTCGCAGCAACTTTAGATGGTATTATATTATCTGGTCTCCCGTATAAATAAGTAGAAATAATGACGATAATAGCGCCAATTGTGAATTGAGAACTTGGATGAAAATCAAACCAATAAAAACTTATTATGCCCGAAATTATAATTGATAGTGAGGTTGCGAATCCCTTCAGAATACTGTCAGCGTATTTTACCACAATTGCCACTAAAAGACCACCTAACGCTTGATTAGCTATTACAGCGTAAGTAAGTGAATCATACCCTTGTAAGAATCCATCATTCATTATTGCATAGGAATCGTAAAAAATCATGCCAATAAGAGAAAATAGGGCACCAGTGATTCCTAATTGAACATTTCGAATCCACATACTTGTTTCGGTTTTTTTTAAGATCTTTTCAAAGTAACATCCGGCAAATCCTGATGAAACACATGAAGTTATAACTGCAAATAGTCCTATTAATGGATTTTGTGCCAAGAGCAATTGAGCTGCAGTAGTGGCGGCCACATTTGACTCTTTTTTAAAACCATTTGTATTAAAGGTTTTAGTCGTTGATTTCACTGGGGTAACGGTTTGCAATTGTACGAGAGTTACTCCAATCATTAACAGAACCAATGCAAACCACTTAAAGTTTGTAATTTTTCGTTCTAAAAGTACAACAGAGAATATCGCAGTTGAAAGGATCTTCATCTGGTATGTGACTTGAAATGTGGCCGCTTCGAGATTTGATAATGCCACGTATAATAAATTATTTTGCAATGCGTATAACGCAGATGGAATGAACATTTTCAATGTTTCATGGGGTTGTCCAAGAATTTCTTTTTGCACTATATACCAAAATCGTCTAAATGATCTTGCTTGATATAAAATTACTGCAAGGCATGCAATTATCTTTACAATTTCTGCCAGATATACAGCAGTGGACGCCACATACATGTTTTCACCGGGTTTTTGTCGAATTCGAGAATATCGCATCATCAATACCAGTGTTGAATTTTGAATTACAAGAATGATTAAAGATAATTGTTTTTTTGTGAGTCCTAGTATTCGAGGCTCTGACGATCGGAAAAAAATATATTAGTGTATAGACACTGTTCATAATTTGCATATAAAAGTTGAACAATACATCAAATTCCAAGTTTAAGCTAAATCCCATAAAAATGACACTATCCACTTAAATCTATAAAATCTGATTCTTTTATTGAATTTACCTCGCGGTATCAGTTTATGATCTATATTGCTTGTAGGTAGAAGCATCTCTTTCTCGTTTAACTGTTGTGAACCCATTTGAAAATTTTTATAATAACGCAAAGGTAAATTAATACCTTATAAGAAAATATGAGATTCTATTTCTTGGAGATGATCTCGGTAAAGACCACTCGCTTCAGGTGGTTTTTTTTAGGTGGATTAAGTGAAGTAAGCAAGATTTTTCCCAAAAAAAAATAATTATATAGATGTTATCCTTATTTGTACTAGATTATTTACTACCGAGCGTTTTGAATTCATATATATATATAAGGAAAAAAGGAAGCCGTTTTCGAGTACGTAGCGGTAAAACCCAAGCACAAATATCGATAAACATAGGCACTTACAAATTAAACTCGTACGTACGTACGTATTACATTAAATTACATTAGATATATATACGTATCAAGAATCTGTATATATGTGAATAGACGGCGTTAGAAACCAAGAAATTAAAATACATAATCTACATATGAGTTTCAATGTCAAAATTCTCTACCAAGTTTACATATTAAAATTCATAGGCAATTAAACAATTAAAATTTTCACTATACTTTCTCAGATAACCGGAAACGATGCGACTTTAATTATGTTACACGTAAAAATCCAAAGAATCTACTTGTTGATTGGTTCTATTAGACAGTACATATTGTTTTTTTTTTTGAATTCAGACCAAAATTATTAATATGCATATATAAAATTGATTGTACGTAAAATAATGAATGAATTGCTAAATAAAGCAAGTGTGTAAGTAGCATGGAACGGATCGGCGGATATTTTTAAGATCCGGATTCGAATCTAAAAGATCCGGCCGATATAGTTACACAACTAACACTATATGAGTGTCGGCACGGTAAACCCTCGAACTCATAGGAGGACATTCGTCTGATTGGCTGATGTAAATCAATTGCCCGGGTAACTTATTTATACACTTTAAAGTACTT